CTCGCTCAAGACAATGCTATTTAGACAAGCTTTTGATTGACTGTGTCTGTAATTCCTCTGTTTTTGTACATGTTGTTTATTGCATTCTGTAAAGCACTTTGTGATTTTTTTTTTTAATATGTGAAAGGTGCTATATAAATAAAGCCTTACCGTATTTTTTCAGAATATAAGTCACACATTTTTTCATGGTTTGGGTAGTCCTGTGACTTATACTCTGATGCGACATATATTCAAATTTTCAGACTGACAGCTGCAAGAGGCTCTAGGCTTGTGTATCAGTTTTCTGCGCATATCTTCTGCAGAAAAGCCACTGTCCTGCTGCAAGTAGTGAAATATGCAGCAGAAAACAGTAATCGAGCAGCAGAAAGAAAGCTTGGAGTGAGTGAGAAACTTGTGAGGGACTGGCAGAAAGTGGGAAAGGAGAACACAGCTTCACGGCAACTGGGAGGGTGCACCATGCAACTTTCCTGGAAGTCACTGGATGACAAAGCGACTTCAGTGACAACCAAAGTTGCAAAGAGTTGCTCAGAAGTGACACCGAGGATTTTGTGATTTGGAGTGAGATCGAGAGTTTGGTAAACGTATGTTATGTTGTTTATGCTATAGTTATCTGAATAATTGTTAATATGTTACGTCAACATATTAACACCTGTTCAGCCTGTTGTTTTACTTTTACTATAACTTTCCTTTCAAGATAAAATGTTGGTTCCTGGTCCCTGATTTTATAAAATACATTTCCCCCAAAAAGTGCGACTTATAGTCCGGTGTGACTTATATATGTTTTTTTTTTTCTTCATTATGCATTTTTTGGCTGGTGCGACTTCTACTCCAGTGCGACTTATAGTGCAAAAAATATGGTACTTACTCACATAATAAAATAAGTAGGAAAAAAAAGCCAATGTCATGCCCACCTGTCTGACAGTCATATAAACCACAAAAATAATATATTCAAATAAATAATTTAGAAAAAAGTCATATTTTAAACAAATATTACAGTAGTCGCCTGTGCCTGTGTCTAATCCAACTTGTGTCTGCCCCTGCTGTGCTCTTACTGTCCACCAGGCAGCGCTAGACCTCATTTTGGTAAACACAGATTCAAACTTTTTTTTACACAAGACACAAAACAAAACTAGAAAATGTTAAAGTGAATATAACGGTATATTATTTGATCTGCAAATGGTTCACATGGACTGTCTTCTGTCAGACCAGGTCATCATGATCAGTGTACAGGCTGCTGTGTTTAGGTAAGAGCTAACTGAGCTAGTTAGTTAGTTAGTTAGCATGTAGCTCATAGGCTAATTAGCATCTTAAGTCCTACATTATACAGTGATCTTTGTCATTTGTAATATAGCTGTATGTGTGTGTAAAAAGCAGCGTATGACATCTAAGTTTACTCCATTTACAAAAATATTGAATCACGATTAATGAACTGAAAAAGCTAAATGCTAAAGCTAATGCCTCATGTTGCTACTGCTACTTAGCAGACTTCTTTGTTGTCCACATGAGCTGCTTTAAAATCATTCAGTGCCTGTTTTTGAATGATTATTTTTAAATGAAGCCTCAATATTGTTTCTGTACTTTTCTAACAGTCTACATTTTATTTGGCTGATATTAAAGCCTGATGGCACCCGCCCGTCTCAGTGGAGATGCTGAAATAACTCACATTAAGGCATTAAACTTATCTCTCTCCTCGGAGACATGCAGAGGATGCCACCAGGCTAATACAGGTCAGATCTGTGGAGAGGTGGGCTCGTTCACAGTAAATTGCATGTTTTTTGTTTTTTTATTTATTTATTCAATATTTTACCAGGTAAGTCACTTGAGGACACTTTCTCATTTACAGTGACGACCTGGCCAAGAGGCAATATAAAACAAAAGCACAAACAGAAAACACTTACACATCAACTATAACATGAAACAGTGAATAGAGATATAAGACAGTAAAACATTTGCAGGTTAAAGATATGAAAGTGTTAAAAACATGTGCAATTATCCTGTAAAATACTCTGGATGGAGTTTTTAAAAGTCGACAGAGGTAAAAATGAACTAAGTGTTAAAGCCTGTTAAAGGTGGTTCCAGTCACTTGCTGCAGAAAATGAAAAATGAAATGAGTAACGCTGAAAGCTGTGCGGGCCTTAGGACTTTAGGGCTTTTCAAGATATTTTTGTCAATTAAAACACTTGCAATTAAGTAAGATAGGTATGTTTAATGTCTGTGGCGTGTTTTAGGGAAAATAATACAATTCAACTGAGAAAAGCGCTGGTGAACCCTGCACCAGAAAAGTGGCTTATTGCACTAAAATCATAAGTAAGTAAGTCTTTATTTGTATAGTGCTTTTCACAGACATTTTTTGTCACAAAGACGTTTTACAGAGCATTATTCAACATTATTCATTCAGCATTATTCATTCACTCTATACCTGGTGATGGTAAGCTACTGTTGTAGCCACAGTTGCCCTGGGGCAGACTGACAGAAGCGCAGCTGCCATGCCAATTGGTGCCATCGGTCCCCCCGACCACCACCATCACTCACGCACACACCATAACTGTTCTGCTCACATAGAAGAACATGTCTGCTGCAGTTGTGCTCTGACGGACGTGTGACAGACAGGCTGCTCTTCTCTATAATCCACATGTGAGTGAGAAGTCTTATTTCATACTGTCGCTGTAGAGCACTGTGCGGGCTTTCCTCTGGACACACAGTATTATGCAGTTTAGCGTGGACATGTTTGTATCTCAGATCTCATCACACTAAGGACGACACTGAACAGATCTGTCTCTGTGCATGAACCTGACTCTTTATTAAGTTATTTTTTAGTTTTAGCCCAGATTTAGGCCAACTCATAAATGTTTTTTTTATTCTAATTGAAATATTCAAACATAAACCATTAAGGCAACTGTCGTAATCAGATCAATGCATCACACGTTACTTGGATACTTTTATATAGTTTATAGATGGTTTGTCTGATGTGCGTAAAACTGCAGTAGGGGGCCGACTGAAGAGGAATACATTAAACCCAAACTGATTCATTAGGAGCTTGGATCTCATTATCATTATAAAATGTGCATTCATTATTTTTTAGTCCTCGTTAATTACCTCATGTAGTTTTTGTCAGGTAAAAAAAATCCCGGCAATGCTGGTGCAGTCACTGGCTGCAACTGTCGCCTCGGGGCAGCTCACAGTCATGTGGTTTCCGTTCTGTGTCGAGAATCTCTCATTTCACAAACAGACATTGTCATAGCGAGCGTGTGTGTGGTCTGGGATGGTCCTTTTTCAGCCAATAACAAGATTCAGTATTTGTCTTTCTGCAGTGAATGTGATTAAATTCACAAATGCAGTTTTTATGGTTTTATTTCTCTAGAATATTATAAATTGTTGTATTTTTGAATGATGATTACAGAAATAGACTTATGTTGTCATGATACTAAAATTTCAAACTACTATACCACCATACAAATACTGATACACGATACTGAATCTGATACCACAATGATCATTTAAAACACTCTTTCATTAGACAGTAGAATGTGAATTTCAACATTAAATCATAGTACTTTCTTTTATATTACCATGTGTTTTTACATCTGTGCAATTTAGTGTCAGTTAGTATTGAAACTAGATACTTACTTGAGCAGGTATCGATACAAAAAGGTCACATTCACAGGCCAGAAATGAATCTTTCCTGAATAGCTTTAGAATAATCTTTATATTACCATGGTCTTACTGTATATCGTATCTGTGAAATCTTTCAGTTGTCCAGGTAGGTTTTATAGTGGTCCATGGGCGTAAACTAGTCTATGTGCTCTTACTTGTTCTGATACAGCTCAAGATCATCATCATTTGGTTTTCCGATAATTTATGTTATTAAGTTATTTTTTTCAGACCAAGAGTTTGTTTTCATACCTGACACTTTCGACTGATCACTAGCGCTCTTCCTCAAAGTGGTCTCGTGACGTTGCTGTGAGCTGTCCGATCATCTGATTTAAACAGGTTTTGGCGCTGTCTTCCTACCGGTGGAGGCAGGACAACAGCGCCATGTGGAGTTCGACTTCCTCAGGACAGTATCCCAGGTGTGTGAGAGTAAAAAAGCAAAAGACAGAACCACATAAGGGACTGGGACGGAGCAAACATCATTGGAACAGAGGACAACAAATATCGATTAAAGGGACAGTCTGGAATTTTGAACATAGGACCTCATATCCTAGTGAGCCAGAGTGTTGGAGATGTGTGGAGACACTTTTTAAAATATTCTATCCAGTCCTTGTATTTGCAGAGGTCGCTGGTGCTAGGCTAGTGCATGTTAATGGCCATAGTTATCCTGCCACTAAAAACAGTCTCACCCACTCCACAAAATACCTGAAGCAAATCTGTTATTACCCCAGACTGTCGATGTAAATGTCTGTGTCTGCAATGGAAATACAGAGACATGCCCATTGGACTTTAAACCAGGATGAGGGGGCTTTTTTACTCTCACACACCTGGGATACTGTCCTGAGGAAGTCAGACTGTAGATGGCACTGTCATCCTTCCTCCACCGGTAGCAAGACAGTGCCAAAACCTGTTTAAATCAGCTGAGCGGACATGTCACAGCAACATCATGTGACCACTGAGGAGGTTGAAATTATCAGGTATGAAAACAAACTCTTGGTCTGAAAAAAATAACATAATAATATGAAGTTAATTTCTGTCACCTGTTTTTAGTATCTGTACTTGTTCAAAGGAGTCTATTTTCAATATTAGATTTTCACTACTTTTTACAAGCCTGTTCTCCAGTTAGACAGTACGACATATCAGGTCATGCAAATGGACGAGAGGAGGGGAAGTCCAAGCAGAGCCGGATTAAACCATCTCTCCCAGGTCTTATTTCTATGCCACAAGAAAAACAAGGTTATGCAATTGTCAACAACAGTAACCTTCAAATCTGGAATTAGACAAGTGGCCGAGATTTGGAGATTAACTGTGATACTAATACTGATTTGTACTGCCGTGTGCGTCCACAGGGGGCATCTTTGAGACGCTGGAGAATGACCCCATCGGAGTGGAGGAGCTGGCCTTTAAATTCGCCGTCACCAATATTAACCGTAACCGGACGCTCATGCCAAACACCACGCTGACCTACGACATTCAGAGGATCAACCTGTTTGATAGTTTTGAGGCTTCCAGGAGAGGTGAGGAGTGGGGACAACGGAAAGGAGAACGAATGGGGTTGTTATCTGGAATTTCATGAGCAGTTTAATCTCCCTTTTCACTTATGAAGATGCTGTTCACTCTCTACCTCCCTGTATACAGATTTTAATCATCATGAATTCACTTTTAGTCAATTAACTGATGCACATGGCGTGTCTTTAGTTCACCAAGTTTTTTTTTTTTGTCAACAAACACCCTACTTTTCTCTACTCCACCTTTATATTAGATAGCTACAACAGATTATTTATGTATATGCACACACATTTTCATCCACATGTGTCTCTCTGGGATCAAGTAATGTAGTGATCACTATATAACACAAAGGGCTGATGTAAAATTTAGGACTAAGGGGCAGACTACAGCTACACAGTTTAGCAGCATCAGAAGATTTGTCCTTTATGGAGCCCGAGTATGAGTGAATAGACACCAGACCTGACCAGTTTTTAGAGTTTTGTTATAATTATATTGAAATAAATTAAGCAAATGATAACACCACAGCAAACCTAGAACAAAATATAATCCTGGCAGGGTATTGATTAAGCGGAAGGAAACCAGTGGTTGCAGTTTGTGTGTATGGTCCAAACTAATCCAAGGTAATGTAATCCAGGTTGAAAGTATTTAGTCCAGGGTTCGGTAGGTGGAAAAAAATAAGTGGGTTTCTCCTACCGTGAATTAGGTCGCCATTAGGGTATGTCTTAGTTGAGTTGAAAGATGCAGTTTAGTTGATTTTGTGATGAATCAGTCCATAACGAAAACCTTGAGCTTTGAATTCTGGACTCAAAGCATCTCCCCATGCACAACCCGAATAATAAAATGTGTATGGAAGTGCTTGGATATGAAGGTTGTGAGTTTGAAATGTTTGTTTGTCGATGCCAAACCACGCCACAGCCACAGTGGAGCGAAGGAGGAGGAAGTGACACTCTGACCCGTAACTTAAAGGAAGTGGGGAAAATCGGGGTAGAGCAGAAACTGACCTGTTACAATTAAAGTGTCTCAGATGCGGGTTATACTGAACTTAAACAAAATGCATTTATGTTTACACTGGGGTAGATTTAGACTTAGATTTACTGTCATTGTACAAAATACAACAAAACTTCGAGTAGCATCATTATGCAGTTCCAATATTTTTACATGATTTAAAATGGTAAATGGGCATGTTTATTTTGCCCTTTTTATTTCCAGTGGGCACTTAAAATGCTTTACATTAAAAAAAAATTTAAAAAAAATGCTCTCCCATGTGGACGAGTCTAAATAGACACTGGGGTTAAGGCAGGTAAAGTGTCTTGCAGAAGGACACACTGAGTGAATCAGACTATTCTCCCTATTAATGTTGGGAGTGGAATTTGAACTGCTGACCTTCAGATTAATAGAGAAACATTTTAACACATGAGCTAAGAGCAATTTCATAAACAACTGTGCGCATACTGTAGTGGTTTTATAAAGTAATACTGCTTAAAATGTATTTGTATCTCATATCAAATGTACAGTAATTGTTCCTGTATTGTAATTAATAGTTTGCCGTATTGTGATTCCCAGATTTAATTACCTGTATTGTTTTTGTCTTACGCTAATCATTCGTGTCCTTTCTCCATCAGCCTGTGACCAGTTGGCGTTGGGCGTGGGCGCTGTGTTCGGCCCGTCTCACAGCTCCTCGGTCAGTGCGGTCCAGTCCATCTGCAACGCTCTGGAAGTGCCTCACATCCAGACGCGCTGGAAGCACCCATCTGTGGACAACAAGGACAGTTTACGTCAACCTGTTCCCCGAGTATGCGTCCATCAGCCGCGCCGTGCTCGATATTGTGCAGTACTACAAGTGGAAGACCGTCACTGTGGTCTATGAGGACGCTACGGGTGAGTTCATTGAAACGGTTCAAAGCAGGGTTATGTTCTTTCCAATCTGTTTCAAGTGTGGAGCGGCAAGAAAAGGAGCTCAGTGCACAGTTTTGAAGGGGATAATAGCTGAATAGTAAAATTATTCTGGGCACTTGTGTGAGGCCTCGTTAAAATGCAAAATGCGGTTACCATGATCACTTGAGCCCTTGTGAGGAGTGACCGATGCAATAACGTGGTTAATGCGACAGCCCTATGTAAAATTTAGGTTACGTTTACACAGAAACAAATCACCTTATTGGAAACGGTTTTCATCCAGATTCGTTTCTATGTCTGCAATCCTTCCCTATCCACACAGCTTTGCACATATTTGTTTACATTTTGCAGAAACGAAACTTAAAACCGCATGGCTAATTTGCATAAACTGAGCGCTCATAAAACAACCCGCTATTGTGCGCTGATGCGGTTCAGCTTCTGTTGGACTAAATGACATGACTCAGTGGAATGTGAGTGTTCTTTCTGTGACAGAGGGGTGTTCTGCTAATGGTGAGTCTGTTCAGTGCTTCTGTCGCGTTGAAGATGGTTCATGTTAAACTTTTCAGAGATTATACATCTGCAGGTCATACGCACAGACCGTATATATGAATGACCAGATCATTCCGTCTCTGGAGCCGTTTTCCATCGGATTAGTGTGGACAAACACTGCATCTGCAACGAAAACGACTCGAATACGAACTAGTGTGGATGGGGCCCTAGTTTAGAGCAGTGGTTCTCAAATTGGGGATGAGACGATTCCAGTGAAGGATAATAAGAGGTTATGCTATAGGCTCTATTCACGCTTACGTCACAAACCAGGAAGACGTCTGGAAAGATGCGATTACAACTTCCCGACACTGGGCTTGCGATCGACAAATGAGGTGTGGTTGTAATTGTTCATTAGCCGAACATAACGGAGTGCTACAATGACATGTAGATGAAGAAAAATTGGGCCATTTTCAAATTTTTTCCAAAATTTTGTCAGACTTATGGCCGGAACAGAGCACGCCGGAAGTTGTAATCACATCTGTCCAAATGTCTTCCTGCTTTCTGACGTAACGTGAATAGAGCCTATTACTAAACTATTATGCAATCCAACTCTAGCTACCTGAGAACCCTTTTAAATACACATAAATATAAGAAATGTGGTCTGGTCCATGAAGAATTTTGTGAGGAAGGACCCCCATTTTACGATTACAATTTTACAATGTCAGATACAGTACATTTATGTGTACAATTATGCAGGCAAATTTGTACAGATTTAAACAGTTGTATTTTTTTTTTTTACATAAGAGCAAGTATAATTTCACGAAAATGTTGTCAAGTAGTGGAACATTTTATTGCTGAGATGGGCTTAGACTGAATGACAAAAGCTGTGTTCATTTTTATATTCCAGGACTAATTCGGTTGCAAGAGTTGATCAAAGCTCCATCGAGGTACAGCATCAAGATCAAAATCCGACAGCTGCCCACAGGAAGTAAAGACGCCCGGCCGCTGCTCAAAGAGATGAAGAAGGGCAAAGAGTTCTACGTCATCTTCGACTGCTCCTACCAGACCTCCGCCGATGTGCTCAAACAGGTCACTGTCATACACTTTAGTTCATCATAATTCATATCAATTATATCTCCAGTCATTGTTTTTACGTGACAGCAAATATTAGGACAGAATTAGTGATTTTAGATATTGTCATCAGTTCAAGTACAATTAGTTGTTATGTTACAATCTTTTGACTTACAAAACTCTGTCACAGTTTTGAAAACACAATGGCATTGTTTACAGGCACTCCAATCTGATTATTATCTGATTTCGAGACCTTTGTGATCTTTTTAAATGACATTCAGACCAAAATCTGAACAAAATCAGACAATTTTGTTGTTTACATATAAAAATAATGTAATTTTCAACATGAAATAAGAGTGTTATTATTCATTATTATTATGTTGTTTTTCACTAATTTACTTGTTGTTTATTTGTTTCATTATTGGTACCATAGACTGTCTATATACTGTAGGTGGAGCAAACCTGCTAACCACCCCAGTTCACTTTCTTTTGAAAAACTGTGGCCCCCTTCTCTGAAAATACTGCTGTCAGCCTTGTCATTCTGCTCAATTTAACCAACTGTACATGATCCCGGTCTTTATATCACAATTTTATCCATAAAACAATATATTAGGGCTGTAACAATACCTAAATTTCTCTGTATGATATTCACGATATCCATCTCATGCTTCCATATTTATTGCAATATTTTGTGGAGCCTAACAAAACTATGAATATACTACTTTTTCCTTTAAAAATGCCTTGACAAGCCTTTCATTCTGTCATAAACCAAAGATTTAAGATTTAAAAGTGCTTAATAACGGTTATTTCATTACGGAAATTGGACTGAAACAGAGCAAAGGATCATGGTCTATGTAGTTCGCTCTGTTTCTTTTAACTATTGCTGCACCATAACAATGAATTTAAGCAAAGAGACTTGAGATTCGATATATTGTGATGGCCCACGATATTACTGACAGACTTTCGACGATACAGTATCACGACATTTCGATTGTCTTTACATCCTTACAATATATGAGAACACTTATATATAGATATATACAGTCGAGGATTTTTTTTACACACGCTGGAGCATGCATGTGTGTTTGAGCATGTGTGAGTTGTATTAAACAGAAAAAAATCCCTCAAAAATTAAGAATCACTCTCTTTCCAGATTAGCAGATCATCACAGGGTCATATCTGAATTTCATTTCCATTTGTCTTACCGCACATTTGGAGCTTAAAACACCAATTTACCAGCTCCTGATGGACTTGAATTCCAGTGCGATTTCCGTGAGGCGCACTTCTATCATGTCGGAGCAGCTGCCACAGTCACACCTCCAGTGAATTGATTCTTGGTGTGAAAAGTTGGTTCTCAGCTGGAACTATTTCCCTTGTGAGTTAAAGTGAATATGGCAAATTTTCTATTAGCGACAGAATATGAGGGTAGTTTGAGTGAAAACCTGCAGGCAAAAGAAAAGGAGACAATATAATGAAAAAAATAAAGCTGGAAATGTGCTAAGAACTACAGACTGGACAGCCCCAAATTGTGTTAAACATGTCACAGCCCTCTTCAGATTATTGTAGCTGTGAGCTGTTGGGTACCAAGTTCACAAATTGGATGTGTGTGGATTTTTGTATAGTAATATCTTTCATTTTTTAATTACACAGTGCATTTTAAGGTACTCAAATGCTAAATTTATGAATACTTTACTCTATACATTCGGTGTCATTAAGCTGCTTCTTTAGCCACAGTTGTAGTGTGGAAGGCTGCAGATCTAAACCTCAGCCTTTGTGACTAAAAGCATCACACATTCATACAGGGCAAAGGTTGGTGAAATGGGTTGCCCCATGACACAATGACAGTATGAATCGCTGACACTGTTGCTAAGGCAAGTTCAGACTGCAGCCTAAATCCGATTTTTTTTGCCCCTATGGGACCTGTACCTGATCTTTTAATGACAGTCTGAACGACACAGATATGATTTTTTCGAATGTGACCCAGGCCACTTGGATATGTGCTCCTAAAACCGATACATATCCAAAAACGTACTCAGTTTCTCACTGAAATAGGCCGGTGAAGATGTGTTTCCTCTCGCGAGTGTGGTACAAGTAGGCACAGACAAATGTACACAAACGTTCTTCTCGTCATACGAAAATTGTGTATGAACTCTGTGTCAGTGAAGCAGTGAAGCACAAAGCAGTCCCCCCACTCTTGGCTGCGACTCTGCACCCACACATTTCTTTCTACGGATGTTGCTGCCACTGCCCCACAAAACACCATGGCCAAAAACCTTGTCCTTCTTCTCAATCTCCTCCTTATAACAAAAAAGCATACAAGTTGCAGTTAATTGGAAATGTGAATGACCTCACAAAAAAAACGGATTTCACAAAAAAATCCAAAAGCCTTATTAAGCATTAAGCTCTGCAGTCTGAAGGTAGCCTAAGAAGACCCCTTTACTGATATATTGAATGCAGAAAAAACGATGGTTGTTAAGCACTGCCGATATTTTGGACGGACGGAGGGAAGATATAGATTTAAATTTACTACAAGCTCACCCACAACCTTATTTTAGTGGATAAGAGAGCTGTGTAGTCACGTTTTGTGCAGGGTCTTCTTGGTAGTTATTGTAAGTGTCCATGTAGTTGGCTCAAACAAAACATCAGCCTCTGCTGGAGATTTAAGGCCAATTGCTGCATACACTCTCTCTACCCTCTACCAACTGAGCCTTGATTGGACTGAATGTTTGAAAGCCAGTTGTGAATGATTTTACTCATCTGTTGTTGTTCCTGTGAGTTATATAATTACAGATATCAAACAGGTAATTATAAACTCTGTAGTATTGACTATTACTATGTCCATGTTTGCCAAGACGTTATTTAAAAAAAAAAAAAAAAGCTTTTTGACATTAACCATCTGAGTGTGCTATGCATTTTTTCACGTTTAAATTGCTCTTCTTTGCATTTGCACCTCTACAAGAACTTTGATGTGCATTTTTTATTTCATCTAATATATCCAGTTCAGCATGTGATAGTTTTGTACAGTATCATTTATACAGGTTCTTGATATTGATAGTGATACTGTAAACCAAAAAGGAAATACATGTCGCAGAATGAGTGGAGATATTGCTGAAGACATAGTTTGTGATTTCAGAATAAAAACACAGGCTCTGAGAGAGTGGCAACAGGGGCACAGTAGCTTCTGAAAATTTCCTGAAAACCTCCACCTTTTTAAGTTATTTTTGTTTGCACTTTAAGATTTTATTTATTTATTTTTTGTTATTTTATGGTATTTTTTTACCCCATGTCCTATCAATCATCATTTCATCTTTGCACGGTTTTCCTTATGACCTTTTGTATATAGTTGAGCTATTTTTATGACTAATTTTTCTATTTTATTTTTACTTGTGCATATACATTTATGTAATTATGCCTTATTGACATCAGTAGATTTTTTTGCTACTTACTTAATTTCACTAGTGGATCAATAAAGTTTGTCTAAGTCTAAGTCTATAACACATTACTTCTTACACAGGAGAAACAGCCTCTAACAGTTTTGTTTTTGTTCCTTGTTCCTGTTCAGATCCTGTCCATGGGCATGATGACGGAGTATTACCACTTCTTCTTCACCACGCTGGTGAGTAAAACAGACTCCTTACAAACAGCTTCCTACAAAAAACAATAAATACCTCTGAGCACTTTACATAGACGTGAGCTGAGTGGTTTTGGGCTTATTTTTCTTACAAATGGAACAAAACTCAAGATTAGATGGGTTTGTGGTAGAGATAATTTGGATTTTTTTCAATATCCACATCCAGTGTTTGTCCTGCTGCTGTGACTGATAACCAGTATTTGCTGATATCAATATTTAGCTTTTAAAATACATAGAAAGGCGTACAAATTTATCTTTAAGGTGTGCTATGTAACTTTTCTGTCTGGGGTCTGCTACCTGCTTGTTTCTTAATATGTCATTAATCTGCCTGGAAAAAAGTCATAATTATGAGTTTTAAAGTCATACTTATGGGTTTTAAAGTTGACTCTGAACCAGCCCTTGTCATGCAAGCACAGGGTCATTTTCCTGGAGAGACCGTCCTCCAGGAGCTCAGGACATCTTCACATAGCTCCATATCCTTGTTAACTTGTGAATGTTGTAAAAAAAACAAGAAAGTGAGAGATATCCACACAAATCCCACATGAATGAGTAGGTCCTGGCCGGAAATTGTTGATCTTTGCTGGGCACTTAACACAGGCTACTTTGCGTTGCTCACTGATGAAAGTATGGGCACATAGCAAATAATTTTGAAGACAGTGTGAAGTGAATTAGTAAAATAACTACACATTTTTCCTTGTAGTGGGTTCATACAAGGCTTCTCCAGGAAAATGGTCGCCCCAGCCCACGTGCTTTCATGGCGAGAGCAGGTTCAGAATCAGCTTCAAAAACTCCTAATTATGAGTTTAAAACTAGTAATTATGACATTTAAACTCATAATTATGACTTTCTGTGAGGCTTTTATTTTTTATTTACTGGAGGAAAGGGGCTTCCTTTGCCTGGAATGTTCAACAGTATGACATTAAACAGCTCTACCTCACATTTATTCAATTACAGGTGGTTTTATAGCTCAAAAATACTTAGAAAAAACGACATTCTGACTGTGAGTGGGGTTGCCTCTTCACAGATCTGACCTGTAACTTGATCTGGTTTGGTCTTAATGAAGATAGAATGGTTTAATAGCATACTGTGAAGCATTCCAGACAAAGCAATAACATCTCAATGGAGAAAAGTAACTGATGGACCCTCCACCTGAAATGATACACAATGCATGTTAAGTTGAAGTAAAGATCACAAATTCACTTTTCACTTTTGCAAAAATAACTAAATGTATTTCTCTGAGATATAAAATTATATATTAGATGTTTGTGTATCATACAGCCTTATAACACTCATTTCACTATCTGAAAAACTCTTATTCACTACCATTAATGTTTAGTCTGTAGCATAAATATATATTGTATTGTACTGTATTGTTTTTGATCCATAGCTGAATCATATCAAATATCATATCAAATTGCTTATGATATGAGATTATACTTGGTTATACTTGATGGAAGACATTTTGGAGTATCAGTTTTCTATCTGCTGTGCATTGGGCTGCTCACCCATAAACCTGATTATGTGGAAAGAAAACCGGTGTGTTTTGTAATACTTGGCCAAATTCCATAGTGCTCCCGTTTTTAATCAAGCTCGTCTTTATCCTGGTCACTAGGTCATATCTCCAAAAACAATTTTCAGAAATGAAAAGTGATGTAAGAATACTAAAATCCCTTTGAACAGTATTATTTCTGTATTAAAGTTCTTTATTTTTCATTATTCAATAGTTGTGAGTTACTTTTTGGACACCTTAACACTAATCTTCCACATTTCACAGCTGGAAAGTTTTTATAACTGCATTTTAATAGCTTTAAAGATGCACTATGTAACTTTCTGGTTGGGGGTCCGTCACCTGCTTGGACATGTCATTGCTTTGCCTGGAATTTTCCACAGTACGACATTAAACAGCTCTTCTTCCAATGCAGGACTTGTTTGCCTTGGACCTGGAGCCGTACCGATACAGTGGGGTGAACATGACGGGCTTCAGGCTTCTCAACATCGATGACCCGCAGGTGGCGTCTGTGGTGGAGCGCTGGGCCATGGAGAGGATGCAGGCGCCGTCCAAACTGGAGATGGGCATGATGGAGGGCATGATGACGGTGAGGGTCCTGACCACACCTCTATGTACTGTCTCAGTGTGAAGATATTCTGAAACTACATAAACCACAAAGTTATTAAAACATTTCCCTAAGTTTTTTGGATTATAATCAACCACGTTATGAACATGTGTGAGCCTCTGTCATGACTGTAAAAGGACAGAATGTACAATAATGATTTAGAAATTCATAAACATGAGTCATGACCTATCTGGATCCCTAGATTCAAGGTAAATGTTCAAATCAAATATAGTTTTTACAATTGTAATGCTGATTTATTCTTAATTACAAAAACATTGGACATGATGTTCCATATATTTATGTTATAAATTGTTGGCAAAGTAGTTTGTCAATTGGACAAACATTTATTTATTTATTTCAACCTAAATAAACATTTGTCCAGTTGACAAATTGAATTTCTCCTTTGCCATGGATTCTGCCTGGACGACTGAGGGATTCTACTTGGACTTCAATGCTGAAATCCAGTTGGTTTAAACCTAAAATGCCACTCTCTGATCCGAATGGTCACAGCCAATCATGAGTCAGTGCTAGTGCAGCCTCTGTAGCTCAGTGAGTGAAGCTGGGTTTAGTGGGTTACTTGCAGATTGCCTGTTACACCATCTACGACAACTGTGGTGTGTATTTGGCCAAGGCAGTGCAGTTTCGAGCATGTTCATGTGATGACACGATTAATGCCCTGAAAACCGCTTCAGGTGCTGTAGTGTCAGTGGAAACTTCTTGCAGATTCTTTCGACAGACCCATGCCTCACCCACACACGCACTCTACAGAGGTCAAAGGTCAGTGTGGCAGAGGTCAGTATAACTGGATGCATTGGTTTTAATGACTTTGTAAATCCTGCAGGACCTGCACCAGGACCCGAACCGCACTTGTAATCTATGTAAACCCGGCATGAACTCTGGAGAGCTTTCATATTCCATATAATAATAACCTTTATGTGTCCCTGGTTCATTCAGTTGTGATTGTAGTTACTGAAAACAATAACACCTCAAGCTACTTACCTCTTAATACTTCAATTTTTTGGAACATATATAAGAAAACTGAATCAAAATGTATTTAAAAATCCTTCTTGGACTTTGACTAATTCAAACCAGCTCAACCTAATCAAACAGAATTAACCTTCTGAATAAAAACTACACATTAATTCTGATGTGATTATGTATGACTTGAATAAAAACAACACATTAATTCTGATGTGATTCCGTGTGACCTGTCCCTCCCTCTGCTCGCCGCTCTCCAGACTGAAGCCGCCCTGATGTACGACGCCGTGTACATGGTGGCCACAGCCTCTCAGCGCGCCTCCCAGATCACCGTCAGCTCGCTCCAGTGCCACCGACACAAACCCTGGCGCTTCGGAGGACGCTTCATGAACATGCTCAAAGACGTGAGTGCACCCATGGGCGACTGCTCCCACCCTACATCCCCACCCTCACCACCTCGCGACGGACACAAGCAGTAGAGGAGGATTAGGAATGAGTGAATGAGCAAATGGAAGTGGGCAATATGAGACAACAGGGGTTAGAGTGGTAGTGAGGCTGATTTATAACTAGGAGGTTCGCAGTTTTATCCCGGCTTTTACAAGTGCACTCAGCTGTTGTGTCCATGGGCAAGACACTTTTGACTTGTGTGACTGACTGACACCACACTGTAGATTGTGCGGAGGATTTAAAGAGAATTACAGCCTGGTTCTCACAAGTACGACATAAGGCCAAGTCCATGCATCTAATCGCTCCCTCTCCCGACTTAAGTCACGCACTCTGTCATTCATACAGTAACTATTCATATTCTGCTACAAGACCTCACCATTTTATTTAATTTTAATTTTAGTTTTTTTTATTTAATGGACATTTTAACAAAGAAACAATCGTACAATTTTCAGAATGATCAATGAAAACAAAGTCCAGAATTTATTACAGGAGAGCGGGCATCTGACATAATATAAATACATAATACTTCCAGGTTGAACAAGGGCCAAAACTCCAAAATGACACTACATAATACTAATACTATAATACTTATAATTAGGGGTGTGCAAAAATATTGAAATATCGATATATTGTATCGTTTAATGTGAAGATACAGTATTGATATCGTGGGCTGCTGTATCGATATATCGCCAAGAGTATTTTTTGTGTATGTTTTACTAAATTATTTTGTTACTGGGCTACAGTTTTGTTGCTTGTTTAGAGGAAGGAAACTCGTTTATGCAACACATTTGACATTTTCACTGTTTTGATGATTAAAATGTTTGTGTTTCATATGAACTTTGAATGAGAAGTGGTTTAACAAAGACTTTTAGTATCATAGCCATGATTTTGTCTTTATTTTTAATGAACCGTATTGAATCGATTTGAAATACATAGCACTGAATCGAAAGCTCACTGTATCGAGATATATATCGTATCGGCAACTTCTGAAATACTACTTCTAATCAGACTTATACAAATAAAAGAACACAACATAATTTCGTGAAACAAAGGTTCAAAGTGTCAGAAAAAGATCTTCCTTGTGCGTGAATTACCTCTGCATTCTGGATGGACTTTTGATGACATAAGCAGAGGGATTCTGCTTCATAACTCAGGGCTACTTCTGATTTCTCCAACTTTTTGTTTTCTACTTTTCTTCACAAATTTACTTTTTTATACCCCACCAACCCCACCCACTCACGTCCTACATACACATTACAGGTTAAATATAAATTACTTCTTTTTAATGTCTTTATTGTGTCCTTACTATGAGTGGACTTGCATCTCCACAAACCTGACTCGCACTTGGGCTGGGGAGTGCCTCCTCCTGCTTGTGTCCATGGAAGTGTTGTTCCCTTGGCTTTAATCTTCCACTAAAGATTTTAAGTTTCTCTTTTCATGGAAACTTTTAGGTGATGTGCCTTCTCCAGAAAGTGCTGCTTTAAATATAAAAAGATATAAAGCAAAACTATATATTACTTTATTCAGCAGCTCGTACTAATATATTATATAACTGTAATAATGTGAATAAAATCGGTCAAATCACCATGTGTTTTTAGGAGCCTAGCTAAAATGAGAAAAATAGTTGCTTATTTAGCTGAGATATAATTTATGACAGTAAGCCTGATTTAAGTGTTTTAGGTTTAGTCTAACTTTATTCCACAATGCGTCAGTGCGTATTAGTTTGAATGTATTTAGTTGACCGTACTTTTATTTTTTCATCCTCTTTTTAAATGTCTCTCCAGCTGTAGTGTGTCCTCGCCCCCTCACTGCTGCCTCCTCACATCAAATCCTCTTCCATTACATAACCCCAGACTACATATTTACAACAGGCCAGTGCTCACGAGCCCATTACCCCTCACTTAGTCACTGGTCATTAACATGTGGAGGACTGAGGCAGGTTTGTTGTGCTCCTCTGGCTCAGACGCAGTGGAGCGGTCTGACAGGACAGGTCATCATCAACAAAACAGACGGACTCAGGAAGGAGTTTGACCTGGACGTGATCAGCCTGAAGGAGGACGGCCTGGGCAAGGTGAGGCACGGACCCTAACACACCAAAGCAAAAGGCTGTGACATTAGCAGAGCTCTAAAGAAAACAGACTGGAATTTGGACTGGAGAGCCTGATTCTGGATTCTAAATAAGGTTTTGAGTAAATTTCACTTGACAAATAAAATGATCTACCAATGGAACAGGACTTTTTGTACTTGAAATATGAAAATACATCTTGTTACTCTGAAGATAAGAAAAACAACAACTTTTTGCACTTTGAATCAAAATCGAATGTTGCTTGATTTAAGAAAAAGACACTTACAGTATTCCATTGGTAAATAATTTTACTTGTCAAATTGAATCTTCTCAAATAAAGTCAATTTAATTATCAATTTAAGTCATTTTAACTTACTTAAATATTGTTTTTTACAGTGTGCTTTTTAGTTTGGACTCCAGAAAGGACTCTTGTTGGGCAATATGAAGCCAGATAATGATTACAATTTTGTCATGATTCGTATACACTTTTTAATATTTTCCTGTTGTCTTTAAGAGATACATATAATCTGCTTCTTCTGAGAGTGATTGGTTAATTCAGCTGTGATTCAGTCAAAGTCTTACAAAGGCTGACCAACAGCAGAGTCGATGGTATCACCACAATATGACCAAGAGTTTTAAAGATTTTATCACTATTTCACTATTATTTTATCACTATTTCGTGGACAGGCTTCTTTTCTAGACTTAGGACACTGCTTTTGGCTCGTTTGTGGTCTCTATTCTGCTCTGAACAGAAGACAGGATTTTGGATTCATGTTTTTACCAAAGACTGTGGACTCATCTCTGGTCTGGACTCTGCATTAGACTCTTGGAGAGGACTCTGGAGAGGACTTTAATCAATCAATCAATCAAACTTCAAACTTTATTTATAGAGCCCTTTACAACACTCAACACTTGTGACCAAAGTGCTTCATGATATCGATACAATATAAAACATTTGGACTTTGGTTTGGACTTTAATTTGGACTTGAGTTTGAACTAATGACTCTGATCTGGACTCTGGACTTTTTTCTCTTAAGTCAGGACTGATCTCAGGTCTGGACTCTGGTGGTCCAAGCTTTGTTTGTTGTGACTCAAGATGGGTCTCTAGTCTGGACTCTGGTCTGGCATCTCTAGTCTAAACAAGTCTGGACTCTAGTCTGGACTTTAATCTGTAATCTGGTCTGCTCTCTGGACTGGTCAGGTCTGGTGTGCTGGACTTTAGCTACTCATATATGACAATTTTGCATGTGTTAAATACTTGTCCTTGTTATTTCCACAAGCCGAACCCAGGCACCAACCGTCTGAACAAAGTGTGGAAGAAGGTTTGTATGGAGCTAATACACTTGAGTTTACCCAGGACCCAGTGGTGTTGTGGACTTGTTTACTCTGCCCCTTTCTCTGTCCATAAAATACGAATAGCACTTGTCAGTTCATACAGTAATTTACACAGATTTTAATTTACATATTGATTTAAGATTAGTGATTAACACCTTTGGATCCAAGTAACTTACCATGTAAATGTTAATGATAATATAGATTTTGTGGCACAGTCAGTAACACAGTTGGTAGATCCCAGCCTCAGTTACAATAAAGGATCTGCCGTGTAAAAATCTACTTGACAATAACTTTAAATCAAAATAAAAACTGTATTGGCAAGTGCTAGCTGTCTTCTTTCTGGCATATGGCCCTTCCTCTGATAAAATATTATAATTGTGATCTTCAGTTTCAACATGACTAATTTCTCGTTTGTATTTTTTATATCTAGATTGGAGTTTGGAATTCCAACACTGGCCTTAATTTGACAGAAAACAACAAGGACGCTTCTACCAACGTGACGGACTCTATGGCCAACCGGACACTCATCGTCACCACTATTCTGGTACCAAAAAAACACTAAAAATAGACTTTATAATTAATATTTCATGGGGTGAGAAGCTAAAGGTAACAAGTAAAACACTAGTTCAGATTTAGACCCTTTTCTTGTTTTTTTTTTTTTCCTCCTGTGGTTACATTTAATGAACAATAACTTTTTGAACTTTTTAGAGCTTTCACCAATCTTATGCACTTTTAGGTACTAGTCTTATATCACTGAGTGTGTTCGCATGCGCTTGAGTGTCCTGATTATGAGCCGTAATTATCCTGGGTGTGACAGTATTCTGGATATGATGTTTACATGCAGCCACAGAAACCGGGATACTCATATCCCTGTATACCAGGGCTTTCCAACCTTTTTCCTCCTGTGAGCTACTTTCTGTAAAATGAAAATGCCAGAGAGCTACTAGTTTCAGCGGTTGCCAGAAAGGGGGAAATATAAGAGCCACAGTAAGCCTCAGACGGGGTACAGGTAGAGATCTATAAAACACAACCCATTATCCAGTTATCAGTGTACAAAGTTAGGCATAAAAATATAAATTTACAATGGAAATAGGCATTTAATCAATCAAATTTGAGTTATCCAGCACAATACATATGATTCAGAAATCCCTTGGTGAGCTACTTGGAAGGGGGTGGAGAGATACTGGTAGCTCCCGAGATGCAAGTTGGAGACTCCTGCTGTATACATATGCAGTCAGAGTATCCTGGATATTTAGAGTGGTAACTATGATGTTGACCAGTCGTCCTGGTCTGGCGCCACCTAGTGCCTCCCCTCAATTTAATTTCTCTCCAGCGACTAGGTCAGGTATCAGAATACACAAGACGGTTCGTAAAAAAACCCGGAAGTGTGAGTTGGTCACCAGCCAATCAGCAAAGAGCCAAATATTCTGTGTTGGCAAGGATTCCCAAGATCGAGGATTTAAAGCTGGAACAAAGAGAATGTTTGAAGTTTATCAAGGGAAAAGATGTTATTGTCCTTCTTCCTACGGGATTTGGGAAAAGCTTAATACCAGTTAGCACCGTTGGCGGAGCATTACATACATCACAACCAAATAGTCAGACGGTTTCTATGAAGTGTAACTGGCTGATGAATCAGGCTAGGTAGGACCCATAGCAAAGGAGAAATTCAATTCTGTCAAATGGACAACTTTTTTATTTTTTATTGAATACGTCACACAGCTGCTTCTTCAGTTTTGTTCAGATTTCTGGTGGACACTGCCTTTCATATGCCTCAATAGACCTAGCTAACTAAGATAAACTGTAAATAAGTAGGTGTGTTAGTTTCAGAGTAGTTTCAGTGTAGTTAGCTCCTCACTTCAGGCAGTGTCCTCCAGTGTCTGTCCAAAGCTGAAGAGCTGTGAAATGTAATCAATCAAAAAACAAACAAACAAACAAACAAACAAACAAAAAACAGCTTTTAACCTGTTGACAGAATTTAATTTATCCTTTGCTATGGATAAATAGACTGCTTCATTTTGCAGTTTGTAGGTATAAAATAATATGTTTTAAAAAGCCCTGGTGGGGAAACTTCTTGCTCCTACTGTATTTGTCATTTCAATTTGCATAGGCTTAGTACAGCACCAATGTTGAGAAAATACTATGAGAATATTCCAATAAGAGGAGCCTTGTATCTCATAACCGGGATACTGAAATCAGGATACTGTGTTTACATGGACACACACAAAACCAAAAAAACTCAAAAATGTATTAAGGTTTGATTTAGCTTTTTATCAGTGTCTTTTTTATCTTCATTTTTAGAATTATGCAATATTTTAGCAGCAAATAAAATGTTGCTTCTGATTTTTTGCCTCTGTTCAAACACGCCTGCAGGAAAACCCTTATGTGATGTATAAGAAGTCGGACAAGCCTCTGTATGGGAACGACCGGTTTGAAGGCTACTGCTTGGACCTGCTCAAAGAACTGTCCAACATCCTGGGCTTCTCTTACGAGGTCAAACTAGTGTCTGACGGGAAATACGGAGCTCAGAACGACAAAGGGGAGTGGAACGGCATGGTGCGAGAACTCATCGATCATGTGAGTATGAACACAACACATGAGGCTAAATAAAACCAAAACAGGCAGCTTAAGTCAGTGTTCACTACTAATTGTCAATGTTTAAAGGATCCATATTATGTTATTTTCTGATCTATGTTATAATGTTGTTTCTTCATCACAAACCTCATCCCTGGAGTTGTGTTTTGTTTCATTCACATATGTTTAACACAAAAATCCTGCTTATTCCTCTCTGCATATTTCCTTTTCTGTTTGTTACAACCCTGGAAATGCAAATCTCTATTAGAAAAAAAAGCAAAAATGTAACTGTTAACTTGAAATCTACTAGCCAGGCTGGCGCCACCTTGTGCCTCCGCTCAATTTCATTTCTATCCAGCGAACTAGGTCAGGAATTGGAATACACTAGACGGTTTGCAAGAACCCCAGAAGTTGTAGACCGTGCACCGACCAATCAGTGAAGAGCTGTGAAGCCATGACGTCAAACTCAAGCGCCTGTCTGGGTCCCTTTTGTGGTACAGCACAACAGTAAACAAAGGGGTTGAGATGGATGTAGACGAAGTCCAAACATTCTTGTGTTGACAACGATTTCCGAAGGTTGAGGATTTAAAGCAGGAACAAAGAGAATGTTTGGTGAATTTTATCAAGGGGAAAGACGTTATTGCCCTTCTTCCTACGGGATTTGGCGCATTTACATACATCACGACCAAATAGCAGCGATTGGATAAATAAAAAAGTATCCGTCTACCGTCGAGTGAATGTATCCTAATGCTGCAAGGTCAGACCCGCTGATGAATCAGGCTAGAAAACTACTGCTTCATGGCATCACAAGGTGGAACACAGTATTTTGAGCTTTGGAGATGTAGACAGACATATAATAAAGTGTTACTCAAATATTTGTGAATGAAACAAAACACAACTCCAGGTCTGTTTTTGATGGGGTAACATTAAAACATACCTTAAAGCTCACAGGAGTACATTTTACGTTATCATATTGCTGATTAGCCCTGACAACGCTTTCAAACTTTCATTTTTTTTCCTGAAAGTCTGTGGGAAAAACAAATTATGCGAAATTTACTTCTGGAACTAAGTGGAGGGTGGTTACTGTTGAGATAACGGTGTAATGGGGTCTTTGCTGAAACATCCATGTTCCTCAACTACCTAAACTAAAATCTTTTGAATTGTGAAAATGTACCAGTATGTCTTGACCTAGACTATAGTTAATAGCTCAGGCTGTTCATATGAAACAAAATGACATCTTTTGACACATATTTTCACTTTTGTGTCAAAAAATGAAGTGTTATACAATTGTATAATATGCATAATAGTTGGTAATTGCTAAAACATTGAGCCACAAGACTAATTTGTGGACTCAATGTCTTATAACAAAAAATCTGAATAATTTATGGAATTTATGTTTTGTCATTTATTTTAAAAATTTGTCCTCCTTCTTAGATTACATGGTCAAATTCTCTTCAGTTCAGTTTTAGATAGTTTTTTTGGCTCGTCTTGTCACGATTTGCATTTAGGTTTTGACTATTTTGTTCCAATATTGCTGGTTCAATTGAGTACTGAAAAGAAAAAGAAATAGGCTACATTTAATGTCCAAATAGGTGACTTATGGATCCTTTTATTTCTGGCTCAATTACTGTTTTTCCTTGTTTAAAACTTGAGTAATACGAATTGTTCAGAAAGATACGATCACTCAGTCAACAATAAAATATCCTCATTAATGTTCAGTAATGATCAAATCCACCTTTATTTTGTGATTTATGAATAATGTCTATTGTCTATTGACATTGAAGGTTTGTGAAAATATGTGTAAAATATGTGTATGTGTGTTTGGTGTAGTCAAAGATTGTTCTGAAATAAGTGTAAAGCTATTTTAAAACAGTATTATTCAAGTAGAAGTACAAATTCCTGATCCAAGAAACCTCAAAATATGACTACTGTGTGCTACTACTCATGACATAAACCCTCTGTTGTTTCCAGGTGGCAGATCTGGCAGTGGCGCCCCTCACCATCACCTATGTGCGGGAGAAAGTGATAGATTTCTCCAAACCCTTCATGACTCTTGGTATCAGTATCCTGTACCACAAACCCAACGGCACCAACCCGGGCGTCTTCTCCTTCCTCAACCCGCTCTCTCCTGACATATGGATGTACGTGCTTCTGGCCTGTCTGGGGGTCAGCTGTGTGCTCTTCGTCATCGCCAGGTAAACTCATTTGGGAGATTTGGATGTTTGTCTCGTAGCAGTGAAACGCAATATAGCTATAACTGGTTATTTTGGGCCCCTCAATCATATTTTGTAGTTACACAACAGATTTCCAAACCTTCTGCACCAAACACCACATCTGAAATATTCGTCTTACTAAACTGAGCTAAACCAAGAGTAAATTGGGACTTAGAGCTGCTTTTCCTGATTTTTACTGTCTTAAAAATATGAAAAACAGCTTCAGGTTCATTTTAAACTTTTGCAGTGGTTCAAAATGAATTCCTCACTTACTTTCTGAGCTTTTTTTTTAATTCACCCCCAATATTTTTCACAACTTTCGGCAAGAAGAATTCGTGTATCATTCTTTCATTCGTTTTTCAAAATAAAACCAAAAATAAGAAAACAATAAAACAACAATTTTCTTCATTATTTGTCTTAAAACCAAAATAAAAAAACAGATAATGATTTGTTTTTCAGTTTTTGATTTTGTGTTTAAATGAATAATGAAAAAAACGGATAACGGCCCGTTTCCTGTTTCCGTGACTTAAACTGCGATGCTGGAATGAACCAGGATTGAACCAGGACTAAACCAGGACTAAACCAGGACTAAACCAGGACTGAACCAGGAGTGTCGGGGCCGACTCGGAGGTGTGCCCGCGTAGACTGTTGGGTGATAAGGACTGAGACTGGGACCAGACTGGGACAGGATCAGGACTGAGACTAGGACTGAGACTAGGACTGAGACCAGGACTGAGACCAGGACTGAGACCAGTTTTGTTCTGGTTCAGTCATGGATCAGTCCTGGTTCAGTCTGGCATCTCAGTTTAAGTCACGGAAATGGAAAAACGCCTTTACACAAAGTTGAAAAGTGAAAAAAAAATCTTTATTCATTTCTTCAGTTTGGTTTTGGAGACAAATATTGAAGAAAATTTTCTTATTTTTGGTTTTATTTTGAAAAACGAATGAACTAATGAGACACGGATTAAGAAGAGCGGAGTTTGCCATGACTGTAAAACCAACAACAACTAGCATGCTAACATATTTTGACCTCAAGAGCTGCTTATCGATTATATCTGTACAAGGACAGGACAAATTTAGCTCAGATACATCGTAAAAATCAGGTACAGGGTCTTTAACAAGTGAGACTAAACTAGGGTGAAACGAAGACATAACCATAATGGTTTCAACGATGTTCATCTGGACATTGTTTTTGTGATCAAGATGTTTTGGCGCCATCCAGAATTATTATTATATTATATTATTTTCAATTTGGAGCTCTGGGGTTTATCCTAACCTGAGTCCAGCCACAAATGGAGAACTTTTAGAGTGAAACTGACATGCCCTTGTTTACTTCCTACCAACATCTTGCTTCTAAGGTTAAGGATTATTTATGTAGCACATTTAAAAACAGACTGTACCAACCCAAAACAGATAAAAACTAACTGATTAAATAAGAAAAAACACAAGTAAACACAATAAAACAAGGCTAAGAACACAGATAAAACTATAGAAAATAAACTTGAGTTAAAACCCAGTGTAAAAGTAAAAGTACATTTTCAGCAGCGTTGTAAACTTTCCAGGGAATTAGCAGCTGTAATGTGTAATGTTGACCTGCGTGTTCTGCCTGGAATGTGCAAAATAAGCAATCGGATCATGAAGAGATTTATAAACAAATAATAAAATCTTAAACTAGGTCAAAATTAGGATTATGTATTATGATTGTGTATTTAGCAGCACCTAATATTTCACATAGACATTGTAAGGTCCAAACATTTGTGAAACCAAACTTGTTCCACTTTTAGAAATGTCTGAAAAGCGAAAGAATCCACAGAGAGCGATCCAAGTGCAATTGAGGACATACAATACATACAGAAAGGAGAACTTTAACATGCAGGTGACAGGAGGTCAAAAAGCTGTTTGGCTCCACTCCACTTTCATGATGCACCTTCACTCACCTTAAATAAGGAGCCATAGACCACAAAATAATACAAAAAATAAACATTTCTTAAGTAAACTTATGATTAACATTAGCAATAATTAATTGAAAGAAAGAAACAAACAAACAAAATAAGATTAATTATCTCAGTAATGAAAAAGGCTCCAACAGACATTTACCTGTAGACGACTTAACGAATAAATAACCCCTCTTGTCCTGCAGGTTCACCCCATACGAGTGGTACAATCCTCACCCGTGTAACCCAGACTCCGACGTGGTGGAGAACAACTTCACCCTCATCAACAGTGTGTGGTTCGGGGTGGGAGCTCTGATGCAGCAAGGTAAAGTCTTTGCGCATTCACAGTCACTCAGCAGTCACCCCTCCAGCTCGGCCTTACCTTTGTGCCTGCTCATGTTCCAGGGTCGGAGCTGATGCCCAAAGCGCTTTCCACCAGGATCGTGGGGGGGATCTGGTGGTTCTTCACGCTCATCATCATCTCCTCCTACACTGCTAACCTGGCTGCTTTCCTCACAGTGGAGAGGATGGACTCACCCATAGACTCTGCAGACGATCTGGCCAAACAAACTAAGATTGAGTACGGTGCTGTGCGAGACGGATCCACCATGACATTCTTCAAGGTATTGTCATCCTCCTCTTCTGATCAAAATTTAGCTAAAAAGAGAGAGTCCAGAGAGTCTAATTTGGCCTGCGAGGGGACTCTGACATTTTAAGAAGAATCTATTTTGATTGAATTTTGTACTGAAAAGACGGCCAGGAGATGAGGAGGAGGCCAATTGTCTGTCTGTTTCCCAATATTTCAAGTAAATTCAATCAAAACATTTTCTGTGCAAACTGTCATTAGGTCTGGCCCTCGACCTGCTAATGTGCATTCATTTTGGCCTTCTGAAATAACTTTGGGCACCCCTGATTAGCATGTTAATATGAGTATAAGTCCTAGTCTCAGGGCTCAAATTGAGTTTAGCCTTGTGACTCCATTTATGTATTTAGATAAGTAAATGATGATTGCACACTGATGATTTTGTGGCCTATAGCACAGATGGCATGGCATTATTATGTGCTAATGAGCAGTGGGAGCAGGGTATAAGCAGCATAGAGACATTTGTTCATAGTAGATGGACTGTACATGTACTGCTGCCTGGGATGCCCAATACGCTCATGTACAATACCTTATGTGTGGTTTGGAACTTAAATACAGTCTGCACATTTGTGGGGAACCTGGTCAGTGTGGTCAGAAGCAGAGGGCAGATTAAAAAAATGTCCTTTTCACCAACACAAATCATTTATTCAAGTTCACCTTGGCACTGTGGCAGAAAAAGAAATAATACATATTTATAAAAAATAACTGTGCTCAAATCAGGTCAAAAGCAACAGAAATGAATGAAACTAAGAAAAAAAACATGTACCAGGTAGGGTTAGGGTAATACGGTATCACGGTATCATGCGGTATCAAAAAGTAGCAACGGTATCAGTTTCATTACTGTCATTAAAAAAATCTGCAGCACATATGGACCTAATATAATATTATAATTTATTGATACCTACATTTGTTTACTCAGCACAAATGAATGTGTGGTTGTATTTTCAATTTAATGCTATCACGATTTAAAACTAATAGGATCTATAATGTTTCTTTTAACTGCGTGGGGAGATGACGTTTGATTAGTTTCGTTCCATTGTCAGGATGGTCCCCCCTCCAAAAAATACTAGTATTTCTGCAATTTGGCATTTTTGGCTTTAGGCACACATAAGTTTTACAGAAATGAAACTTAAAACCACATGGCTCATTTGCATAAACTATAAAGCGCTGATCCTGAGAATCCTGAGAAGGTTTAACAGTATTGGAAATTTAGATACCGCCCAACCCTAGTACCTGGCTACACTGAGGCTCTTGAAAGGCTGAACTGAACTGATTTCATAGTTTTCCCGCAGGACGTACCTCCCTCCAGGTCAGTACAAACACACACAGGTTAGATATCATGGCAACTTTACTTGTCTCTAAACTTAACCATTTAATTTGTTATAAGAGCCTTAAGCATAAAAGTTCTTAAAATAAAGTATAAACACTGAAATATCTAAATCAAGTGAACCAAATCCATAAAACTAAAAAGAACTGAAACCGATTCTCCCCTCCACATGGTCTGGCCCAAAACCGGCTCTTCTTTTGTCTCCAGACCATGTGGAGTAGCAGGTGAGCTGGTAAGTGTCTGAAATGTTTAACAAAATTGAACAGTGTGAACTAAATAAAATATATTTAAGGTAAAGGAATTAAACAAAGACTAAATAAAACAAACCTGGGATAGTTGTATTTATGAGCTGAACTGATTATTGATAAATGAAAAGGAAAGTGAGTATAAAGGCACAAAGGCTCTTTGTCACAACAATATCAGACGGGTGTGATTGACAGACAGAGTTAGTAGTCAGAGAAATACTTTTGATATGAACGTTCTGTCCAACTTGGAAGTAAACCAAAACAAACACAGAGGACTGAGAAACAGGGCAGATTTATGCAGAATGAACGAACGAAACACTTATAAGTCTATTAAAAAAGTCTCATTTCAGCAAAAGCAAAGTTTCTGAATTATTCCATGTATTGAATGTTTCAGTGAAAATACTAAGAAAGCTGATATTCTCTGATTTTGCCCTGACAGAAATCTAAGATCTCCACGTACGAGAAGATGTGGGCGTTCATGAGCAGCAGGAAGAACACAGCTCTGGTGAAGAACAACCGGGAGGGCATCCAGCGCGTCCTGACCACAGACTACGCCCTGCTCATGGAGTCCACCAGCATCGAGTACATCAGCCAGAGGAACTGCAACCTCACCCAGATCGGAGGGCTCATAGACTCCAAGGGCTACGGCGTCGGGACTCCCATTGGTAACACACACTCACACACAAACACAAACACTTTTCTACTGCAAAACATCTCCTCTGGCTTTAAGCAGATTCACTGTGAACCTGCCATGATTTGGTCTGACTGTTTTGTTCAGACCAAATCAGACACCTTTTCTATTACAAACACCACATACTTAAAATTTTAATATACTGTGAGTGGGAAGTGTGTTCCCCAGAGACAATTGTTTTCATTTAGGTCTTGTTTGAACCCCCAATCCTCTGTTTGATTTAGTTTGATTTTACTTTTACTGGTACTGGCAGATGTAATTTTGAGAACTTTGAATCATTCTAAATATATGTTAATTTTGTCCTAATTTTGGCATTGTCAGTTGTCAGTGGGGCAATGACTGTTTTAGTTCAGGTTTTTATGTGGTGGAGACAGGAGATAGAGATAGGAGGTAAGTGGCGACGACATAGATACAACTCTGACTACGTTAATGATGAGCAAACATCAAAGTTAAAGGTGCTGTACCTGATTTTTACTGCCTTAAAAATGTGAATAAAGATTTTTTAACAGTTTGGAGTGGCCCAAAATTAGTCTACACTTCTCTTCTCAAGTTCCTAATTATTTACTATACTATAAACTATTTACAATAAACTCAGTGAATAATTATTAACAAGTAGCATGAATTAGATGAAGAAAGCACACAGCAGATTTTTTTGACCTCAAGAGCTTCTTATATAATATATATAAAATCTAATCAAACTTTATTTATCACGCCGTTTCCTGAAAAATTTGACATGATGCGCTTTGCCACCATTAAAAACTATCCTATGCGCTTTTCCACCCAACCACCATATATGCACATATATGCACTGGAGCAAAAAACATTGGGGCGACAGTAGCTCAGTGAGTGGTCAGATTTACTGACCCAAACTGACTGGTGTGATTCCAGCTTCCTTGGTCAAGACACTTAACTCACCTCGTCCCCTGGTGTATGCATGTGTGTGGACGGGTGAATGGTTTCTTGATGTAAAGCGCTTTGAGTGCCTTGAAGGTGAAAAAGCGCGATATAAAAATGTGACCATTTACCATTTTACCAATTACATTTTGTTCAAATACCTGGGAAATATGGATACCTAAATTTGAATTGTATGTTTTCAGGCTCGCCGTACAGAGACAAGGTGACCATTGCCATCTTGCAGCTGCAGGAGGAGGGCAAACTGCACATGATGAAGGAGAAGTGGTGGAGAGGGAACGGCTGCCCAGAGGAGGACAGCAAAGAGGCCAGCGCTTTGGGCGTGGAGAACATCGGGGGCATCTTCATCGTGCTGGCCGCCGGTCTCGTGCTCTCCGTGTTTGTGGCCATTGGAGAATTCATCTACAAGTCCAGGAAGAACATCGACATCGAGGAGGTGAGCGTGGGCCAGTGTGAATGGCATCACAAATATTAACCACAGAACACACACACGGACCGAAAGGCAAAAACCGCACTTGAAGAAGAAGTTTGAATGTGGCTTCTGCACTGTTACAATCAATAAGGATTTCCTACAGTTTAGTGTTTGAGTAGTTCTCAAGTACTCTTTTTAGGCCGATTCTTAAAAACTGGAACAGCTGGCCAGTAATTGTGAATATGTTTGTCCCCTAATGTAATGCCGAACGGAAATACGGATATACGGACATACGGATGTACGGATATATACGAATATACGGACCGAGAAGGCAACACTGGAGCCCCCACTTGAAGAAGTTTGAATGTGGCTTCTGCACTGTTACAATCAATAAGGATTTCCTACAGTTTAGTGTTCCAAGTAGTTTTGAAGTACTCTTTTTAGGCCGATTTTTTAAAACTGGAAAAGCCAATAATCGTGAATATGTTTTTTTCCCCTAATGTATGAGTTTGTGTGGAACAGACAAACTATTTTTGGAGATTCAGGCCCTTTTTGGAACGGTACGACTGGCCTGGTTGTCACTAAAAGCCCTCGGATCTTTACGTTGAACATCTACACTTTTTTGACCATTTTGGCCTTCTGCCGTTTTTTTTTTTTTTTTTCTTTTTCAAAACAAGTGTAGCGTTATTTTGTGTGTGTTATGCCACGTTTATTATAACATGGGTAAGTATCGACGAAGTTCAGCTTGTTTACCACTGCAGTAGTTTTGCAAGTACTCAGTTACTGTCATATTTATAGCGCACAGAACTAAAAACAGAAAATGTCATTCTTTTATTTTTACTCATGTGTTACTTTATTATTATTTAATTGCTATGTTGATCCCGAGACCTCTCTGCTTTATGTCAGTACTTTTGTATCATTTCAAGTCCATGGACATGCGTGTAAGTGTTTTGTTTTGTCAGGTTTGTTTCAGAATGACTAAAGTGATGTGGGAACATTACAGCGCGTGAGTGTTTTGTTTTTCTTAACCTTACACGAAAGAAGTGGTGAAGTGGTAAAAAGGTGAGGTAAGGCAAGAAACTCATCCACATTTTTTGCACAAGATGTAAAGAGGAACATAGAGGACGCATTATATTTTCATTAAAGAGGGGTTATTATGCTAAACAGATTGATTTTTTTGACATTTCTACCATGGTGAAACATCATTCAAAAACATGCCTGAAGAGATTTTAGATATCATCCACGCGTGTTTCAGTAATTTGCCGATCTCTCCCGGCAATATTTGAACCTTCCTTATTGCTAGTTGTAAGATTCTGTCCATTTTTCCGCCCACACGGCTACATCACCCACGCTCCCACATGACAATTCTCCATAAATAAACAAAAGCATGATTAAAAAAAAAACTGTAGAGAAAAACTGACTTGTGTTGTGATAACAATCTGAAGAGGGAGTGCCTTAGTGTGGAGAGCAAAGGGAGAAAAACAACAGTGAAACATGTTAATACGTTGTTTTCGGCAAATATAGCATTTTCAAAACAGTTAAAAGTAACATGCTGATCTATGCAAGTAAAATACTTCCTCGTTAATATTATATAATCAAAAGGGGTGTGCAAAAATATGAAAATATCGATATATTGTATTGTTGAATGTGATGATACAGTATTGATATTGTGGGCTGCTGTATCGATCAGCAAGAGTATTTTTTTTTAAATAATTTAGTTAGTAAATAAGTCTTTATTTAGCGCTTTTTCACAGACATATGTCACAAAGACGCTTTACAGAGCATTATTCAGCATTTTACTAAATTATTTTGTCAGTGCTACAGTTTTGATGATTAAAATGTTTGTGTTTCATATTAACTTTGCATAAGAAGTTAACAAAGACTTTTAGTGTCATGATTTAGCTTTAATTTTTATTGAACCGTATTGAATCGACCTGGAAAAGTCATGGAATTTTACTATCTCTTTCTCGCAACTACAGCGTTCTGTTAAGTTATCATGAGGCTATTATGATTATTTCTGAATTTATGCACCTTTTGTTTAAAAGAGACGACAATAAATGCACTGACAGTATTTTGAACGTTAAAAAAAACTATAATACCAAACCATAAGGTGAGTGGAAAGAGTTAACATTTCATATTTAGCCCTAAAAGTATGATCAGTTTTACACATGTAGGTGCTGTAAAGTCATGGAAAATTTATTTTAGGTCATGAAAAAAAAGTTTTGAAATTTTGTCAGTGAAAAAGAGTGGGAACCCTTTTAAAAATACGAATTCTTCTCGCTTGGTTCTCCATAGATCTGACCATTCATCTGTTTCCATTGTGATTACTGAGTTTATTACCATACTGTAGAATAATCAAGACTGTCTACCAGAAAAGTTACGCAGTACACCTTTAAATTTCCAGTCTGTCCACCCAGATCGAGCAGGTTTGAGCCAGGTCCGTCTCCTCTGGGTCAGTGGGTGCCTGTGTCATGCGTCCAGGTATGTAAATGACCTTCTAACAGCGCAGTGAAGGTGTTCGAATACAGATTGGGTCTAAACTCTCTGTTGTCGTGGAGATTAAAAAGCAAAGCTGTTTTTAAAGCCATTCACCGGCAGCTGTGACAGGTGACACCGAGCCATGTCTGTGTGAGCGAATCTGTGTCACCTTCAGGGACAGGCCTCGACATCTGTCAATACCAGCGCTATACGTTTTATGATGACAAAGCGGATTGACTTCACTATACAGAGGAGACAAGTCGAAACACGGATCTATTGATGTCGTGTCCTTGGGCAAGACACTTTACTCACCTTTTCCAATGTGCGAATGTGTCCCTGTGACTAGAGCGGTGATGATGACGATGATGATGGGAGGAGCTTTTCAATACGTACACAGGCAGTTTTGGTTATTTATTTATTTTTATTTATTTATTATTCATTTTTAATTGATACTTTACAGGGATATCGTGTTGGGGGTGTTCTACATGTGGGTCAGTTTGTGAGTTATGTAGTTTTCAAATGCTCAAAAAATTTAAATGGCATACAAAATGTGTAGATTTTCTGGTGTATATTTTATCATTTTGTACATGCCCCTAGAAAAAACTTTGATTAAAACCATTTTTCTGCATTTAAAGCCAGGGAGGTCTTAAAAATGTCATTTGGTGCAGCGGACATATTGTTAAAATGTAATGAAATCTAAAATAACTCAAACACAAACTGAGCTCTACAAATAAACAATAGGCCATTAAAAAGTTTTTATTTTATTTAATTTTTCTCAAAGTTTTGAAGAATTTCACAATTTGCCCTAATATGACATTAACTCTTAACTCTGGTACCATTTTTTTTTTTCATAAAATGAGTAAAACACTACACAATTGGATAAAACTGAAGCATGTTAGCACTTTCCCTGTTTAAATTTAACCCATTAACAACTGAATTTATATAGTTGTATAAAAAATGTTTTGTGTGTGTTTCTGCCAGAGTTTAAGTAGCCAGTAACCTAGTGCCTCCGCTCAATTTCATTTGTCTCCAGCGACTAGATCAGGAATCAGAATATACACTAAATGGTTCTCAAAACCCCCGGAAGTGTGAATTTGAGCACCAGCCAATCAGCGAAGAGACATATATTCTGTGTTGGCAACGATTCACGAGATCGAATATTTAAAGCTGGAACAAAGAGAATGTTTGTTGAATTTTATCAAGGGGAAAGACATTATTGCCCTTCTTCTTATGGGATTTGGGAAAAGCTTAATATACCAGTTAGCCCCGTTAGTGGCGCATTACATATGTCACGACCAAATAGCAGCGATTGGTTAAATAAAAGAAGTACCTGCCTACTGTCGAGTGAACGAATCCTAGCGCTGTGAGCTCAGATGGTTTCCACAAAGTGAATGAATCAGGCTAGCCTTTAAGTAGATGGTAAATTAAACTGAGATTATTAATTTGACTATAGCAAAAAATAAATAAATAGAAATGTGGGTACTAGGGATGGGCATTTGATGAAATTTTCTTAATCGATCGTCGGAAGAATTAACGATCGATTATCGATTAATCATTAACGTTTTTATATTAAAATGATCATCATTATTATTACTATCTGCACTACTAATCTGCATAAATAAATTCAACTTTACGACATATAAACCGTAACGACTCTAGAGCCACATCAGCCCGTTTGAGATTATAATGTGTTTAATTCAGTTTTGCACAACTCTCACAGAAACAAAACTTAAAACCGCATCGCTAATTTGCATAAACTAAGCGAAGATAAAACTACAGCTCTTGTGTCGCTGATGCGGTCAATTTCTGTCGGATTAAAAGACATGATTCAGTGGAATACAGGTTAGTGTGACCATATTTGCGTTTGTCAAAACCAGGACACCGTACGGGGGGAGGAGGTGGGGACTCGTCATCGACATTGCGCGACTCTCACCTGGTAAAGCTTTTTCCCACTGAACACCAAAACATATGTGCTGCTTTGTACACTGTGCACAAGGACTCCCACTTGTCCCGAACGCAACAGAAAGCGTGGAATTTCTTGTACAAATCATCGTTAAATACACATTTGTGCTTCGGCACGCTGCAGGCTGACCTACTGTTTGTGTCTCGCTCCTTCTGAGTGCAGAGAGACACATGTACAGACCCCTGTTTGGTCACGCTACGCACAGCAACCTACATTCGGTTTGTCGATTAAAATTAACGTAATCAATGAAATTCTTAATGATCAATTATCGATTAATAGATTAATCATGCTTTGCCAAAGGTTCCTAAGAAGGTGCTGCTTATGCACAAACCAGCACTGGGGGAATGCAGACGCTATCTCGGCTTATATCTTAATCCAAACGGTTTGTCGCATATTTGTGACAGTCGGAATTAAAGGGCTATGTTCTTTTGTAAAAAAATATATTTTTAATGTCAAAACTAACTTTTTCTGACACATTTCACTGCAATATCTGCGTATCTCTATTGGCGAAATGTTCAACAGTTACTATGGTGACACAATGCACACATCAACGAACACTGTCAAAAATGTTTTATATATAGTCTGAAAACTGAAGAAAAAGTACAAAACTGATTTAAACAGCACATTTTTAGAAGCCTGCGATCAATACAAGTGTTCATGGTCCTGGTTAGGTGTTTGATTTTCAACAAAAAGTTGAGCGTGGCTGAAAAACTGTTGGCAGCACAAATCAGCTCATCTGTTGTAGTTCCAGCCAAGTCTGCTGTTTGTGGTCAGATTGTGTTAAAATGAAGCTCAGAATGAAAGATAATTTGAGGAACAGAGCTTCAGACAGAGCAGTGCTTTCAGTTAACCCCCAGGGAATGTTGTCATCAGCTGCAAAGTGTCAATTGTAAAATGAGTAAGAGGACAGTTATTTTAAAATAATGTTCCAAAAAGACTACTCAGGTAAAAAAGTAGTAGTAAAAAAGTAAAGTTAACTAAAAATGTATCTGAGGCATTTACTCAAGTAAGGGTAATTGTAAGAGTAACTATC